CCAGTGGTCCACCGACCCGGTTCTAGCCTCGAATGTCGACTTTTCATCCTCTCATTTTGGCGAGAAAACACCTCGTTACGAGAAGGCATTGCTTAGGGCTTCCTCGGCAGAGGCTACTTGAGACGCTTGGTCGTAATGGAGCATTTCGCGAGGTGCAAGGGACGGGTGAGGAGCCGCAACCCTAGACACCCATCCCGGACCATATTAGTCCGAAAAGGGAGGTAGTAATAGTAAAGTATTCGGATTCTATGACACGTCAAAGCCCATCGTTTAGGCTCAAATAGATTCCTGGTCTGATTCACACATCCAACACCATTTTTCGTCTCACATTACCTTGAAATGAGACGAACAACTGAACAGGCAGAAAATATTTCGGTATTCCGAATAAAGGATCATCGTAGACATGACGAAAGCGCCCCGAATGGACGAAACGCGGCTTTCTCCCGAAACCTTGACCAGATAATCATTTAGTTTACTCACAAAGTAGTGGAGTCCAGATATAGATCCGCTGTGTGAACGAGAACGGAGCACGCATGCGAGAGCTACTTCAAACCCGTTAGTTGTGGTCATTGAAGTATGCGTTTTTACTGTAGATCGATGGGTTGTCTGTTGATTCGGTTTCCGGACTAAGATTGAGTAAACTNTAGGAAGCTTAGACAAACAATAAATTAGATATCTAGTGAGGTGAGACCTGTCACACTGTTCAGAGACACCAGCCCATCCTTCGACCCACCCAACCCGCGTCGCCAGGAAGTGACTTGTACTTTAAACCGTGCAATCGTTCGTATCCGTGTTGCTTTACAGATGATATAGACACCGTTCGCAAACGTGCGGAAGCAAGTTGGCCGAAATCGCCGAAATCACCATGATGGGAGTACGATCATACTGAGTAGCGGTAATTGAATGAGAGTGTAGTTCGGTCACTCATACTACAGTTTGATACAGGTGAGATAACGATGCACACATTTGTATTCGTACCCCGAAAACCAGCACGGTAAAACAAGAGAACAAAAATTAGTGGTGGGGTGGGGGTTGATTGGACGGCGGACACCAGTTAACGAAGGTCGGATGTAGTAAGTGGGACCGGCTACGGATTTTTCGACCAAAAAATTGTCACGCGCAGAGCAATGAAACCCCGAATGGGAACAGCTGGTCCGGATCTAAACTGATAGACAATCTGGTAGGTGTAAATTGTGCGAAACGTTCTGGGTACGACGTGCTCGAATCATACTATTATGTGTGATTATGGACGCAGGAGTAAACACACACAAAGAATGTAGTTGGGTATCTAATGGTCATTCTGTGGACATTGTCCTATATTGATAAACTTTCATTTTGCAATTTTTGAGCCGCTCAAATAGATTTCTTTCATTGCAGGCACACCCTTGTGTGATGTGAACCTCATAGTCGCGAAGACTGCTACTGTTCGGCAATGGTAACCGGAAACCTAAGCCCCGCGGGACTTGGTGTATCGAACAAAATAACGCCTCCGTAGGTTGGGAGTAGGATATTGAACCGGACGACAGCGAAGCGATCTACTCCCAACCAACCGTAATCAAAATGAAAATGGAAACAGTTGGATTGGTGAGGCAAACCGATAGTATGACATAGTAGCAGAGAGCAACTGAAAGGAATAGGTGAGAAAAATTTGCGATTTCCTAGTGTGACTCATTGAATTCAATAAGCATTGCTTACGGCTTACGTAAAGTTAACCGGGGAAACTTACCGCAGGAATCACCAGCAATGCAGGATACGATTTGGCCAATTCGTATTGTGCATTATAGGCGACCAATCGCGTCCCACCGGAATAGGAGAGATTCGAATGGATCAGACCGGAGAGACGTGTGGTTGACGAGCCTGCAGCACCGGCAGAACCACTCTGATAACCAGACGAACCGGGGCCGGTATTCATTGTGGATGAGGTTGAGGGCGGAGCTGATCTGAGACCGAAATGTGCCATGTCCAGATAACCCGGGGAATGCGCGATCATTCTAGCCAGACGAGGATCCACTCGCGTGAGTACGGAACTGCTTAGCACCATCGCAATGGCTGTCATCGCTTCGTTTGTATAACGACCTAGTGGATAATTCACAATAGACCCAATAGAAGGATTAAAAAACATGGAAACAACATTAGAAATAGCACAACAATGCAAAACATGAACAACTTTACCTCATGGTTTTTTGTTCTTGTTGTAAATTGGAAAACAAGACCAACTTATACGGAAATTCCATAATTATTAACATTATTATCCTTTTGGACATTTAAGTTTTCCTCACTGAGTACAACGTTGTACGGATAACGTTCAGGAAGGCGAAAACCGCTAACGTGAAGCTGCAACTAGATGAATGGAAGATCGGTGGCTACCAAAAGAATCGCAGACACGAACACGAAGCAATCAGTGAATTTCTTTCTTGCTCATTTTCGCTTCATTTCACTGAACCCTTTATTTTGAACCTCTTTCGAAATCCTCAGTATGGTCGGGGGCGGGTTTCTAGGGTTGCGGTTGCTCACCCGTCCCTTGCACCTCGTGAAATACTCCCACACGATCAAGCGTCTCAAGTAGCCTCTGCCGAGGAAGCCCTAAGCAATGCCTTCTCGTGACGAGGTGTTTTCTCACCAAAATGAGAGGATGAAAAGTCGACATTCGAGGCTAGAACCGGGTCGGTGGACCACTGGTAGTCTACCTAGGGAAGTTGGCCAAAAATCCTGATTCGAAACCAACCAAGAAGGGGTGTGAGAACCACACGCACATCTCCTGGTCGCGGCACTGGTCACCGGCTCCATAGGGCATCTTGGTCTTTTGACCCCGTCCAAAAGGCGTATGATCCGATGAACTAGACACCGTCCCGTTATTGACTGCGGGCTCCGTCCTGTTGTGTTGCAGTTCCTGCTTTTTTATCCAAAGGCTTCGGGTGGGGACCCCGAAGGTATCATCCTTTCTCGGCCAGGGCAACCGGGAACTAACATGCCCACACAACCCGTGAACACATTCTTCAAATTTCTTTCAGTTCATGTGTTTTGGCACATTTGCCAATTCTCTTTAATTGGTTACGTTTTGAATAATAATAATAATATAATATAACTATCCGCAGTGGCACAGATTTTTCAAACCATAGTGATCGTGACAGTTATTCTGGGGGAAATCCCACGTGCTCGGTTGACTTAGTTCTCTGTTCCTGTAGACGTTCATTCTTTTTCGTGACATGAGCTGTTCTTCTCTGGGGAAAATTGATTTCCCGTTCCTCTTCGTAATATTGATTGATTTCCGCTTCTTTTTCTAATCTCTTTAGCTTCCGATTGTCAAATCTGTCATTCACATGTGTGTGTTTGTGTACCCCTCTCTGTTCCTGCTCATATGCTGTCCCGTAGGGTCTTACGCCCCGGATCGTGTGTTTTTGTTTGTCTATCGATGCATCATCCTTTTTCATATTTCTCCGACTATCATTCCGTTCCCCGGCTGATCCCGACTTGTTCGTCTGTAGTCGATCAATTCTACCTGTTTGACTAAACTGGCCCGATCCTATCGACTCGGTCGTTTCCCGGTGGTCACTTGGCAACATCCACAAAATGGTGCCTATCTGTTTCGAGGTAGTGGATTTCATTCCAAATCGATCCTGGGCGCGCTCAAGCATGTCGGTTCTAGCGGTCCGGCAGCCAATCCAGTCGTGGACAAAGAAGGTAATGATCCCC